CAATTGTTGTAGCTAGGGCTAATGGATTAGATTATGCTTTTACACAAGGAGAAGACACAGTATTAGCAGCTATTGTTCACCGTTGTCCGAATTATAAGCTCCAAAATAAGACTTATTTCAATGATAATGATACCCAAGAAAACATAACTGGATTTTCATTTTTACTTTAACTTCTTGAGCGCAGACATACAGTCTTTGTCCCATTGCCAGATTGCCTCTTTCTTTAGCAGTCTGCAAGGGGGCAGCGATAGTGGAGAAGTTCCTCACGAACTTCCTATAGTAGTTAGCTAAGCCTAGGAACGACCGCAACTTTGTCAATGTGCGGGGCATCGGCCAGTCTCTAATTGCCGCTATCTTGCTGTCCTCTGGCTTAATGCCATCTCCGTCCAACACGTGGTCCAAGTACAAAACTTGTGTCTTGGCCCACTCACACTTCTTTGCGTTGATCTTGAAGTTAGCCTCTCTAAGCTTCTCCAAGACCTGCCTCAGATGACCGTGGTGCTCCTGGAGCTTACTAAAAACTAGGATATCATCTAGATAGACTACTACAAACTTATCTAACCACGGTCTAAACAGGTCATTCATAGAACGCTGGAAGGTAGCTGGCGCGTTGGTTAGTCCAAAGGGCATCACTATGAACTCATAGTGCCCGTATCTAGTCCGGAACGCAGTCTTGTACTGGTCATCAGGATGGACTTCTATCTGATGGTATCCAGACTTCAAGTCTATTGTGGAGAAATACTTGCAACCCTGCACCCGATCTAGAAGATCGTCTATCCTGGTCAGTGGCTCAACATTCTTTACAGTAATCGCGTTTAAACCCCTATAGTCTATACACATACGGAGTTCTCCCTCCTTCTTTGGGACAAACAAAAGTGGTGCTCCAAAAGGAGACGAACTGGGTTTGATCATTCGACTTTGAGCTCAAGCCAGTAAAGGGCAAATACAATGTAGTTGTGGATGATCTGAGTAGGAGATCAGACTACTTTGGAGCCGTAGTACACTATCTGGATATAGGGAGAGACCTGCAGGAGAAAGTGAGGCAAGCATATGCGCAGGACCCTATCTATCGCGACCTCCTAAAGAGAGTTAGAGAGGCCCCAGAGACTGAACCAGATTACCGCACTACAGACGGGTTGCTGTTTGAGAAGACTAATGTGTTTGACCGCTTGTGCGTCCCCAACAGCGAAGAGATCCGCAGTTTGATTTTAGGGGAATGCCACGATATTGAAGGGCATTTCGGTTGGCAAAAAACATTAGCCAACCTGATGCATGCGTATACCTGGCCAGGGATGAAAAATGATTGCATAGAATATGTCCACCGTTGTAAAGTGTGCCAGAGGAATAAGTCTACTACACGCGCGCCCCTAGGTCTTCTCAAACCCTTGCCTATTCCGGATCAGCCGGGAGACTCTATGTCCATAGACTTCATGGACACCCAAGTCAAGAGTAGACATGGTAAGAGCCAAGTCATGGTCGTAGTTGACCGCTTTAGCAAATATGCAGTTTTCGTTCCTTTGCCTGCAGAGGCACGTACGGACTTAGTTATACAGAAGTTTTTTGACTTTTGGGTTAGTGAGAATGGAATCCCATTGTCAATAGTTAGTGATAGAGATAGTCGTTTCACCAGCCAGAACTGGCAAGAACTCATGAGAGTTTACGGATCTAAGTTGCTAATGTCATCTGGCCGTCACCCTGAGACTAACGGTCAAACAGAACAGATGAACAAGATCCTACAACAAGTTCTGCGCATGTACATTAGACCAGATCAGATTAACTAGGATGAGATGTTGCCTAAGGTAGCTAGTACATACAACAACAGCGTGCATCTATCCACCTGCCGCACTCCCAATGAGTTGCACAAGTCCTTTAGACCACGCAGACCGTTCGAAGGACTGAACCGGGATCAGATTCACAGATTACCGCCCGGTACCAAAGAGTTTGCGATACAACATGAGAAAGAACTAGCCACTGTTGTTGAAAACCTCAGGAAGGCCCAGCATAGGATGATAGAGCAAGCTAATAAGCACCGCCGCCCGTCGCAGTTTCAGGTAGGCGACTTAGTCCGGGTCAAGGCTAAAGAGTTTGCACCTGAGGAAAACATATCGCAAACCCCGCATATAGAGGACCGTGGCCGGTTCTAGAAGTCAAGGGCGGAGAGGATGGACCGTCCTATAGCATTGAGATTCCAGCACACCTCCACACATACCCCGTGTTTCATGCTTCAAAGTTGCTACCGTGTGTCACAAGTCAACAGTTCCCTTTGAGAAGATCTATGATCCCCTCGGATATGGATGGAAGTTATGACATTGAAGGCATTGTAGATGAGGATGTGTTCCGAACAGGAGGTAGAGGTCGTCCCCAGAAACAATATAAGGTCCGTTTTGCCTATCAGGAACCGGAAGACGACCGCTGGTTCATGAAAAAAGAACTTATAGAAACCGCTCTCGACATAGTCAGAGCCTATGAACGTGACAAGAAAGGTAAAGGTCCCGCCTTGGACTGAAATGTTCTCGGAGGACCTCGAATTTAGGACGGCGGGAGTGAAACGGTTTTCACCTTTTAGCAGTAGCGGATGCAGTATCCAGGGTTCGATCCCTAGACCTCACCCTACCTATGTACAGTATCTGTAAAGATCCCGACCTTTCTCAAGGAGTTCGTCTAACTGCTTGCGAAGCTCCTCTAACTCTCTAGGGGACATCCTGTAGACTGCACCCTTAGGAGTTCTACTGCCAGGCTCGTCTAACTGCTTGCGAAGCTCCTCTAACTCTCTAGGGGACATCCTGTAGACTGCACCCTTAGGAGTTCTACTGCCAGGCTCTATCTCTATCCTGTGCTGGATGGGTCGCGACACTACTCCTGTCGGCAACTCAGTCAAGTCTTTGAATTCTTCCAGCAACTTGGCAATTGTTGGATCTGTGGAACTATCCTTTTCCTGGGCCTCAGTGACAGGTCTAACATAAACTACAAAGACCTGGTCTTCTAACTGCTCCTTCTTTACTAATTGCGCGAACGCGGGAGCACTGAGACAACAATGTGCCAAGGTGTTATCTACACCAGACACATGGAACAAGCGGGCAGTCTTAACCTCGCCTGACGGA